GTCAAAGGAACTGCCCTGGAGAAAACTGTCTGCAATCCAGTCTGACACCTGTCTTTCAGTATGAAACAGAGGTGGCTTCAGGCAGATGATTGCAAAACAGAATCTCTTAAAAACACAATCTCTACACATATAAACTAATAGACCAACACTGAGACAGAAACCAGGAACGAGACATGGGCCCAACAGAACTAAGACAGAAACCAGGAACCAGAAACCGGGTACCAGGAACCAGATACAGGCATAGTCCCGACGTCTCGGGGTGCCTGGGGGATTGAGGCACTAATTAGGTGCTCTGCCACGTCTGGCACTCGTTCCCCACCAGAAAACAGGTTTGCAAACATTTACCTCCAGAGGGTTACCAGGTCCACGATGGCCGAAATGAGGTACAGTCGGAGTCGGGGAGGGAGGCTTCTCCTAGTCCTGAGTCCTGGGGCCCTGGAACATCATCAGGGGCCGGCTCCCCTAGAAGTCAGAACAGAACAATTCCCCCTCCCGAGGCCGATGTCCTCTCCAGGTGGGTCTCTGCAGCGACACGGTACGCTGCTATCTCGCTGGGGCCTCCAAAATGTTATACCGAGAAATGAGCGAGTTGACGACCCAAGCTAATTTTAAATTGTGGACTTTATTAGCTATTAGCGCACGGCTGCCAGGGATATTCACATCCAAATCAAGCAGCCCCCATCAGGGGTTGAGCTAGGGTTTATATAGGGAGTATACAGGACAGGGAGGGGGATGGATCTTTGAAGTCTGGCAAGAGGAAGAGGTTTTTTTGGGGGCTGGTCAAGGACACCCTTCTCCCTCTGTGTAGATATGATAATGCTGTGCAAACTTTCTCACAATGGAGGTTTCCAGAGATATGATCTGAGGGCTGGAGCCTGAGCAGCCAGATAAGGGTCTTGCTAAGGAATTTGGAGTTTTCCATGGCCTAAAGGGTTCTACTACCTAAATGGTAAAATAATGTTCTGCATTACACAGTGTCAGAGAAAAAAGGGGGCTTATTGGACAGATGTTGCAGAGGTAAAATCAACACAGATGCTGCAGAAGTGAAACTGACTAGAGATGCTGCAAAGGCGAAATTGACTAGAGATGCTACAGAGGCGAAATCAACCAGAGATACTACAGAGGTGAAATAGAACAGAGATGTTGCAGAGGTGAAAGGGACAAGAGATGCTGTAGAAGTGAAATCCCCAGGCCTTGACAAGAGATTGGATTTGTGTGTGTGTGAATCAACATCAAATGCCAACTAGGTGTGAACAAGCCCTTTAAAATAAAAAAAGGCTTCTGGTGCTTTGCTCTTTGTATGGCTACAGAAGAGCCCTCAGGGTAGAAAACCAATCTCACCCAATAGGGCCCTGGGTAAAACAGCAATGGTGTTTGAGTCCAGCAGGGAAGAGCTCTGAGGGGTGCCACACCAAAAAAGGGTACCCAGAACACAGACTTAGCCCCACTCAGAGATGCCCAGAAAAGGCAGAAATCTTTGTGGTGCCCCACACCAAGGGAAATCCCAGGACCTCTTTGGGGTCCTGCCCTGCCACAGGAGACATCACCTTAGGCTCTACCCCCAGGGCCCTTATGCAAATTGGGATGCAGTGGAGGGATCCTGGGAGTTCTGCCCCAGACCAGCTGTGGTACTTCAGATGATTCCCCCCTCCCAGCTTCCTCAGTTTACTCATCTGTAAAATGACTAGATGGTGGTCTCTTAGGATGCTTCCAGCTCTAAATCTCACGTCTCTATGTTACTTCCCCTACCTGGGCCTCAGCATCCTTATTTGTGAAATAAGGATGCTCTCTCAGGACACTTCTAGCTTCAATAAGTTGCTAACCTAGCTCAAAGGAATCCTTTGGAACTGGCTTCAATCTCTCCTGGAACCTTTCTCTTAATCCATCCTCCGGCCCTTCAGGTGCTGGGAAGGACATTTCAGATCCCCATCCTGCCCTGTGTGACCAGGACAAGCATGGGACTAGGGAACCTCTCTTCAAACCACAGTTCTGGTCACCAAGAGGAAGTCGTGACGCACGGGTTCAAATCTTGGCTCCACATCTAGTTGTGTGGGTGGCTCTAGGCAAGTCACTTACACTCTCTGGGCCGGTTTCCTTTTCAGTAAGATGGGGACAAGAACCTTGGAGGCCCTTCTTCACACAGGGCTCCTGGGAGGAAAGGGATTTGCAATTCCTAAAACAAGATGGAAATGGAGGCTGGGATCAAAATGACCTGCTCCTCCAAGGGAAGATGAACTTCAGGAAGCATGGGTACCAGGGTGCTCTGAGAGAGAGGAACGGAGAAAGATGAGAAAAGAGAGACACAGAGAGAGGGAGGGAATGGGGAAAAGATACAGAAAGAGGGAGAGGGACAGAGAAAGAGGGGATGGAGGAGAGATGGAAGGGGGAGGGAGAGGAAGAGAGAGGGAGAGGGGGGAGAGGGAGAGAGAGAGAAAGAGAAAGAGAGAAAGAGAGAGAGAGAGAGAGAGAGAGAGAGAGAGAGAGAGGAGAGAAAGACAGAGAAAGAGAAGAGAGAGAAAGACAGAGAAGAGACAAGTGCCAAGGGCCAGAAAGTGACCTGTCTATTTACATGAGTGCTGACTGAAGAGAAGGGAAATGTTCCTAAGAGCCTGGACACCAAGGACTGGGTGTTAATGGCTGGCTGGTTAGCCTGTGGCTAGGGATCCTGTTGTGTGGATGCTCCAGGGGGCAGGGACTGTTTCCTTTTGGTCACCATATCCCTTGTGTGTCAGACACTGGCTGGCACATAGTAGGTGCCTGACAAGTGTTTGTGGTCAGTCACTTGACTGATTTTGTTAGGGAGGGGATCCTAAAGGAGCCTGCGTCGAACCCTCTTGTCTTATGTGAGGAGACTGAGTCCCAGGGAAGGAAAGGTCTGCCAGAGTTCACTCAATGTGTGAGGTTTGGAACCAGAATCCTCTCATAGGTTAGTTCAGTGAGGTGAAGTCAAATCAAGAACTCTTCATCAATCACTTACTTTGTGCCAATTACTGTGCTATTCACTGGGGATACACAGGAAGGCAGGGACCCTGCTCACGCTCTAATGGGGTGAGAAGTGTAGCAGCTGGGACCCTGATCTCAAGCCCAACTCTGCCATCTGGTAGCTGTGGGAAGTCTCTTCTCTCTGGGCCTGCTTTCCCCACCTCAACCCCCCCCCCAAAAAAAAAGTCCCAGGGCTAGCATTTGTTAAGAAAGCTCTCTGTCATCCAGAAAACAGCCCCTGAGCAGCCAACTCCCAACAATGGAGCCCCTCAGCCCAAGTGACAGCCCCTACCTGGCACTGAGAGGGAAGATGCCAGACTGGCTTAGACTGCTCTGGGCAGCAATCCTGGGGCTGCCCAGATTAGCAAAAACCAACGTTGCTCAGAGGCAACAGACGCTGACCCTGGCCTGGAAGCTACAGGCTGGTGGGGACTGCCTGTTTCCTTCTGTGAAGGCGATACTTTGCCAACCTTTGAGGCTCCAGAAAGACAGCTCAGTCCTATGTTCTGCAGGAAACACACTCCAGAGACTGCAAGACAGGCACCTGCCCACCTGGTCCACAGGTACCTTCCACAATCCCTGGGTTGGTGAGGGGCTCCCCTAGCCCAGACCCTGGGAATTGGAACCCTTACGGGGCACTCTACACCATCGCTGTGGAATGCTTTTGAGGGCATACCTAGAGTTGAGTCTTGCCTCAGACACATTCATCATTTCCTAGGCTGTAGACCCCTCTACCCCGGGGCCGGGAGGCACCACTGAGAGTGCTTGTAATTCAGAGGGGGCTTAGCCGGCCACCTCATTCCCCGCCCTTCCTTTTGGGACATTCAGGAGGCTCTGCACTCCCAGAGGCCCTTCTAGCCCAATGCTAGATGCACTGCTCATTACTAGCTTAAGGTGGAAAGCAGCCTGTTCTCCAGCTCTGCCTGTCGGGCTTCACTTTCCTAATCTGTAAAATGAGACACTGATCCCAGTGACAACTAGGCCCCCCCCCCCCGGTCTTATTTTCATCACTTCAGCAAAGAAGAGCTCCCTCCCGCTCTCTTCCTGCCCAGCTTATCTGCTCCCCATTCATTCCTGCTTGTCCCTCTTCTGACTCCCCAGATTATTTACAGGTGTCTGAGTTTTCTGACTCCCATCTTCCCCCTCTCTTGATATCCACTCCTCTCCTGAGGTGGTCAGTGTGAGACAAAGGGGGTGGATGGTACAAGTAAAAGAGGCAGGAGTCATGGGAGAGAGGACCATGAAGGGTCCAATGGGAAGACCGATAGCACAGAGAGGTGGCACCAACAAGGAACATTCCTGCTTATCATCCACAGGCAGATTCTGTTCCATCCACTGCCAGGAGTGTTCACATCTGACAGTATCTGGGTGAGGATGCCTCAGCAGCCTGAGACCCAGGCATTGGCCCTGAACAGGCCTGAGGGATCTGTGACCTATTCAAGTCTGTCCAACTTCCCCACCTCTCCTAGGATACTGGAGGTAGAGGGCTGTCTTGGGAAAATTTGGAGTTCTTCTCTTCTCCACCATCAAGAAGACAGGGTCATCCCCTTGAGGTCCAAAGTCAAGAACCAAATCTTTCAGCAACTAAGGTACCACCAGAAAGTATCCTTTCCTTTCCATCAAAACCTGAACCTTGAGGACAAGTTCTGAAAGAGATAAGCTGTTACAAAGTCTGATGAGCAAAACTTCTTCCAAGTGGTCACTCAAGGGGGACATATCAGTTTGTTTTTCGTGCATGAATTCTCTGGTGTTGAGTGAGATGTCTGGTCTGTATAAAAGCTCTGCCACACTCATCACACTGGTAGGGCTTCTTTCCAGTGTGAATTCTCTCATGTCGAGTAAGGTGCGCGTTCCAGTTGAAGGATCTTCCACAAACATGACATTCAAAGGGCATCTCTTCAGTATGTATTCTCTGATGTTCAGTAAAGGAAGCAAATACTCTGAAGGCCTTCCCACATTCATCACACTGAAAGGGTTTCTCACCATTATGAATCCTCTGGTGTTGAGTGAGATGTGTACGCCGGTTAAAGGACCTCCCACATTCATCACACTGAAAGGGTTTTTCTCCAGTGTGCACTCTCTTATGTTCAATAAGGGCTGAGCTCACCCTAAAGGCTTTTCTCCAGTGTGAACTCTCTTATGTTCAATAAGGGCTGAGCTCACCCTAAAGGCCTTTCCACATTCATCACAATCATAGCGTTTCTCACCAGTGTGAATTCTCCTGTGTTCATTAAGGAACGAGCTCACTCTGAAGGTTTTCCCACAGTCAATACACATATAAGGTTTTATTCCAGTATGAATTCTCTGGTGTTGAGTTAGGGATGAACTGCGGCTGAAGGTTTTCCCACATTCTTCACATTCAAATGGCCTTTTTCCTGTGTGAATTCTCTGGTGCTGAGTGAAGGATGATCTTTCTGTAAAAGCTTTTCCACACTCTTCACATTCAAAAGGCTTCTCCCCCGTATGAATTCTTTGGTGTTGAGTAAGGTGTGTGCCCTGGCTGAAAGCTTTTCCACATTCAGTACACTCATAGGGCTTCTCTCCAGTATGAATTCTCTGGTGCTGAGTAAGGTTGGAACTCTTACTGAAGGCCTTCCCACACTCATTACATTCATATGGTTTCTCTCCAGTATGAACTCTCTGATGTTGGGTCAGTTTTGTACTTCTGTTAAAAGCTTTCCCACATTCACTGCATTTAAAGGGGTTTTCTCCAGTGTGGATTCTCTGATGTTCAATTAGAGACTTGGTGGAAATGAAAGCTTTCCCACATTCACTGCATTCATAGGGTTTTTCTCCAGTGTGGATTCTCTGGTGCTGGGTAAGATATGTACACTGATTGAAGGTTTTTCCATTTATCACAAAGATAGGGCTTCTTTCTAGTATGAAGCCTCTGATGTCGAGTAAGGCATGTAGTCCGTGTGAAAGCTGTCCCACACTCATTGCATTCATAGGGTTTCTCCCCTGTGTGTGTTCTCTCCATGTAGAGCAAGGGATGAGCCCTGGATAAAGGCCTTCCCACGTTCATTACACTTATAGGGTTTTTCTCCAGTATGAATCCTCTCATGCCCATCGAGAGAGGAGGAATGGATGAAGGCTCTTCCACATTCTTTACACACATAAGATCTCTCTCCAGTGTGAATTCTCTGGTGCTGATTCGGGGATGAGGTTCGACTAAAGACTTGACCACATTCTACACCCTTGGAAGTTTTCTCCATGGTCTGTGTTTTACTGCACTGAATCAAGTCTGAGGAATCCCTGAAGGCTTTGCTACAGTTGCTGGACCAATAAGCCATTGTCTCTGCCTTAAGTGTCTGATGTTCTTTGTCTCTTTCTCGTCTGGCATTGCCTCGATGGGGTCTCTCTCCTGGCAGAATTCTCGGTGGACTGAGGAGGCCTGAGCTGGTGCCCACCTGCCTCTCAAGAGGGTCATGTTTGGAGAGCACATCAAGAATCACTTGCCTCAAGCGTCTCCTTCCCAACCTGCAGCCCCAGAAACCATCAATTGAGGTTCTTTATAGTCCTTGTGATAAGAGGTCTTCAGAAATGTCCTGTTCTGGGTATGGCTCCCTGGTCTCAGGCCCAGCTGCCCAGTCTGAAAAGACACTGAAAATGTCACACATTCCTGCCCTGTGGTGATGAAGTCACGGAACAAACCCCAACACCTGGAGGAGAGCGTGGCTGGGATGGCTGGTGGTGAAGGAGAGGAAGGAGACGTGGGGGGCAGGGTGGGGGGAAGACCAGAGGACAGGGGAGCCAGGACCTCAGGCCGGAGGGATCTGAAGGACCATTTGGCCCAAGCCCTGCCTCCCTTTAGAGGTCACAGACTTCCTGTGGGGGCAGGGCACCTGCCTCTGCACCAGGGCCTCTCTCCACAACAACCAGGAAGGGGATCAGGAACGAGTGGGGTGACAGGAGCTCGGTGGCCCCAAAATGGGCTCACCTTCAGGGGACAGAAGGGTCAGCTGCCCTGACTTGGGGAAGGTGACCAAGAAAACTCCTTGGAAGAGATGGACCAGGGGGAATGGCGACGCTTGATGAATGGCTGCCATATTTTCCAAGCACCCGTGGGAAGACTTGCTGGGGGCCTCTTGCTGCCCAGATTGGGGGAAGGTCCCTGAGAGTGGGGCTGCCCGGCCCCACCTGTCTGGCACCTGCACACCTGAGAAGTGCTTTCTGGGTCCCTCACCTGGCCAAGTGCCTCGGAGGACTTCAGCCTCTGTCCTCCAGAGCTCTTCCCCTCGATCCAGGCTGGAGATCTCCTTTGGGTTGGGAATCCAAAGCCCTGCTTGGGTGGGGAAGAAATGCCTTGCTTGGGGACCTGTTGCCACCCCACGGACCTAGAGGAAAGGGGGCCAGAGAGCAAGGCCCAGGGTACTTTGGAGAGATGCTCTGGGCCTGGGCCTCTGGGATGGGAGGGGGCAGCGCATGATGGCTCATATGGTCAGGGACACAGGCAGCAATTCTGGGTCTAGAAGGACCGCCTGCTTCCAAGTAGAAACCCATCCTGTCAGGGCAGAAGAAGGTGCATGCAGATCATGCCCTTAGACACTCCCTGGCCCTGACTGAAATGTGGTCTGTGTCTGGAACGGGGAGAATCCCCTCTGTTACCTCCCTGAGAAAGGAGGTGGTGAGAGGGCAGGTGGGGCTGCATTCTAGTACAGTGCCCAGGCCACAGGAGGTGCCCGCCTGACTCCTATGGCATGAACAAATGGAAAGGGGGAAGCCGCCTTACCCAGGGAGACCAGGTTCCGATAGGTCTCCAGCATCACATCCTGGTACAGCTGCCTCTGAGGGGGGCCCAGCTGACCCCACTCCTCAGGAGTGAAGTCCACGGCCACATCCCTGAAGGTCACGGGCTCCTGAAACACCGAGCACACGCCTGCTGGCCGGGGAACAGATGGACAATCCCAGGAGCCCTGGAAGTCAGGGTAGGGGTGGGAAGGGGTCTGTGTTCAGAGGCAAGAGGGACGCAGGGTCTGTTGTGCTTCCCATCATCCCCCTTCCCTCATGTCCAGGCTGTTCCTAATCTTGTCCTTTTGCCCCTTCTCTCCTTGGACCCTGCCACCCTCCCCCCTTGGGTCTGACCATGGCCACGGCTGCTAGGGGTCTAACTGCCTCAGGTCTCTCCCCATTGCAGGCCATCCTCCATTCGGCCACTAAAGGGATGTTCCTAAGAGGCAGGTCTGACCACGTCACCCCCTCCTCCTTGTGACCTGCCCCCTCCTCCCTCTCCTGTCTCCTCACACCTTACTGCCCGACATGTTCTCTAACCCCGGCCTCCTGGCTTTCCATGAACAAGACCCTCCCAGGCCTGGATGCTCTCTCTCCTCTGAGCCTACTACTGACATCCCTGGCTTCCTTTAAGTCCCAGCTAAAATCTCCCGTCTTAATTCGGGCGCCTTCTCTTTTCATCCTGTCATATTTATAACAGAGTCTGTTCGTACATATTTGTCTGCATGTCGTCTCCTCCATCAGACTGCAAGCTTCCTGAGGGCAGGCACTGTCTTCTGCCTCTTTTTGTATCCCCAGTGCTGGGCACAGTGCCTGGCACACAGCAGGTACCCAACTATTGCCTGATTACTCAACTTGACTTCCCCACTTGTGCGCCAGTCACAAAGAGGCAGCGCCAATGAGTATGTGCTGAGTGGAGGGGTCCCGAGGGAGGGTCTGCAGCAGATTGGGAGCCTTCCTTCTGATGCCCGTCATTGCCCAAGGCAGGCCCAGACCCCAGCGGGACTTCTTTAGTCAGAGGAGCCCCAGGACCAGGGAAGACAATGCATCTGCCCTCTGAAAATGGAGAGGACACCTCAGGAAGGCTGGAGAGCAGGGCCAACTCACCTGGGCTGAGGCAGCCTGGAGTCTGGTGGCCATTCCTTTCTCTGCCAGCTTCCTCTAGGGGGAAGGGGTCGAGCTGAGGGGAGGGGAGAAAAGGAACAGGTCTGCTCGAAGCCCCCAGCCCTGACTGGCCTCAGGGATCCCAAGGGGCAGAAGGGGCCTGCAGAGCCACATCTCTGGCCCCGGGATCTCCTCAGGGAAGGGAGCTCAGAGCAAGGGAAGGCCAGGCCCTCTGCCAGTCAGGAGTGGGTGGGCAGGTGGGCTGGGGCCTAAGGGTCAGCCTGAGTCAGAGGTAGGCTGGTGCTCTCTCCCAGCAGCAGGGGAGGGGACTGCCTCCATGGGGCAGGAGCAGGGGTGCCGCGAGCTGGGCAGCAGGAAAAGGCGTAGGTGGCTGGGGAGATTCCACAGTGCCTTTGTATTACTGTCCTGGTCAAGGAGCCCTTTGGGTTTACATGTAGCACTGCTTCTAGGAGGAGGAAATAAATAGCTGTCCTATACCTGATCTGCCTTCTCCACCAAGAACTTGGTACCTGAGCCAGGGCAAAGCCTCAACCCTCCCTGTAGAGGCCAGGCTCCCCCAGGACTGAGTCCAGAGCTGGGCACTGATGCCTCCTCCCTTCCCCGTACCAGTGGGTGCTGCCCCAGGGCTCCAGGAGTCTGGTTCCCAAGGGTGCTTTCTCTCTACCAGCAACCTGCACTGTGTCACTGGGATCCAGGAGCCAGGACTATTAGACTGCAAGCTCCCTGAGGGCAGGCCTGTCTTCTGCCTCTTTTTGTAACCCCAGGGCTTGATACAGGGCCTGGCACATAGTAGGTGCTTAATAAATGTTGACAGGATACATGAGGGGAGCACACATCCTGAGTTTCCTCATCAGAAAAATGGGGATAATGGCACCCCACCTCACTCTGGAGCTTGTGAGGCTCCAAAGGTCACTCATCCTTAAGCTCCTGCTAAGGCGTGCTCCCTGCCCCCACTCGGGCTCACTTTCCCTAGCCCTTCCCAGGCCCCTGATTCCCTTCCCTTCTGGGCCTCAGTTTCCCTCACCGTGCGAGGATCTCCAAGCACTTTCTGAGCTCGGACAAGAGGATCGCTCACTCACAGGCGGCCAGGGGGAAAGGAGGCTCTGCGCATGCGCGAACCTGCTCCCCATCACTAACGCATGACGTCACGGGACTGCTTCTGGGCCCTCCCCCCCAGAGAGTCTACGGTCATGACGTCACTCGTCCCGGCCTCCGCCCGCGCGAGCTTACGGCGGACACGCCCACACGCAGGTGCGTGGCGTCACGGTCCCTTCCTAGCCCGCGGCCCTTTGGCCTGCCTGGACGTGGACCGCGCACCTGAGCGAAGGACGGGCTGCTCCAGGGGCAGGCCCGGCCGCGGAGCCCCTGCCCCCAGTGGGTCCGCCCTGGCGCCCACCTCTGCGCGCGCACGCACGGCCTCCACGCCCACAGCACGCCTGCGCGGCTAGCGTGGCTTCTGGGCCCCGCAGTGCGCCTGCGCACCCAGCCGGGGGGCGCCCAACCGGGGCTGCGCGGCCCTCTCTGTTTTCAGGGCGCCTGCGCACCTCGCCGCGCCACTACGTTCCCTAGAAGCGTTTGGGCGGCAACAGTTTCTGGCTGCCTGGACCACGAAGCTTAGAGATCTGGCTCCAGCCTGCCTTTTCCTTTCTTTTTAAAGAGGGGAAACTGAGGCTGCAGGAGGGGCCGGGATGTAAGTCCTTCCTGGGTCTTGAAAGTCACCTCACCCCACCCCCTGAAGAGGGCCAGGTTTGCTGAGGTCACCCAGCACTGCGCTTGGAGATTCTCACGCCTTCTAGCCAGGCGGTGAGCACGTATTTATCACCTGCTGTATGCCAGGTGCTGCACTAATCCCAGGGAGGACTAGAGCCCTGGTCACCAAAGCTCCTGAACCATGTCTACTCGCTTCAGGGCCTGCCTCTGTTTCTCCATTTCTCTCTTAGGTGCCCTCGCCATTTGGGGGTGCTTAAAACAAGCACTCCTCCCTTTCCCTTCCCCTCCAGCCCAGGATCTCGCAGAGGACCAGCCACAGACCCGGGGGCTTTCCAAGCTGCTCACTCGCTCAGGCCTCCCCAAGTCTAAATTAGGGCACACCTGGGTTCCTATCCTGTCTCGGAAGACCTAGGTGCCAGGTCATCCCCCCTCCCAGGGAATGGAGGAGGCTGCATCTGCCGGCAGTGCTGGTTCCTCCGTCCGTTCTGCCTCTGCCTCCACCATCTCTGGTGGAAGAAAGTTGGTTCTTCCTACTTCTCACTGGAGAAAAGTGAGTCCTTCAGACATGGTTTCCATTGAACTGCCCTCATTTTAGATTTCTTCTGGTCCCTGTCATTCTACCCAAATTGCCCTCGCCACAGTGCCCAATGACGTCTCAGTGGTCTTTTCTCAGTCCTCAGTCTACTTCCAGTGTGTGCAGCCTGGAACATGGCTGATCACGCTGTTCTCTCCCCATCATTGGACCACCCCTCCCCGCCCTCTCCTGGCTCTCCTCCTCCCTCTCTGACTGCCCTTTTTCAATCTTCTTGGCTGTATCATCCTCCAGGCTATGCCCTCTAACCTTGGGTGTCCCTCGGGCTCCGTGCAGGCCCTCTCTTCTTCCTCCATACTATTTCACTTGGGGATCTCATCCTCTCCCATACATTGAACGACCATCTCTATGCTGAGGATTCTCAAATCTACTCATCCTGCTCCAATCTCTCTGCTGACCTCCAATCTTTCATCTCCAATGGCCTTTCAGACATCTCCACCTGCATGTCCAGTAGACATCTTAAACTCAACATGTTCTGAACCAAACTTATTATCTCTCCCCTAAACTCTCCGCACCTTCCCCCTTCCCTATAATGTAGAGGTCACCCTCATCCTCCTGGTCCCCCAGGCTCCCAGCCTAGGACTCATCCTGGATTCCTCCTCTCTTACTCCCTCCCCCTCCCCCATTTCCAATCTGTCTCCAAGGCCTGTCAATTTCCCCTTTGCAGCATCTCCCAATATGCCCTCTCCTCTCTTCTGACACTGCCCCTAATGCTGACCCTCATCGTCTCACCCCTGGACTTTGGCAATAGCTGCTGAGGAGTCTACCCACCCTAAGTCTCTCCTCACTCCACTCCAGCCTCCATTCAGCCATTAAAGTGGTTTTCCAAATCACTCTGGCTCTGGCTGATTGGGCAACAACAGGTCCCAGCCAAAGCCTCAGTTGGTCACTGTTTGGGTTTTAATGGCTCAGAATGAGTGTAAACAGCAATTCTTTCTGTTGTGGCCAGAAACCCTGAGGGTCTTCCCCTCTTTGTTTGTTTGTTTGTTTTTCTTTTTTAGTAGCAAACTAGGCTATCTGGCCTCATTTCTTATTTAGCCTTGAATCACTGAATGGGTGTTGCCTCAGACAAACTGAGAGCCGGAAAAGACCTTCCTTTTAAAAGGCCCAGGTCTCCCACTGCATCTGGGACCATCTCCAGTCACCCTGATCTGTCTTTTGCTGCTGAACTCAGCTGACCCTAGAGAAGAGAGTGAGGCTGGTGACTTTGAACTCCCCAGCCTCACTTCAATCCAGTTCACTTCCAAGTCAAGGCATCACCCTGCTGATGTCATCTATTCTTTTCTAGAAGGAAGGACAAACACCAAGAGAGTGATTTTCCTAAAGTGCAGGTCTGATCAAGTCATCTCCTACTCAGTCAACTCCAGTGGCTCCCTACTGCCTCCAGGATCAAATACAAAATGCTCTGTTTGGCATCAGAGCCCATTGTAACCCAGCCCCTTCCTACCTTTCCCGTCTTCTCCCCGCTTACACTGGCCAGTTCTCTTCAGACCAGGGATGGCCTCCTGGCTCTTCCATGAGCAGGACAGTGAATCTCTGGTCATGTTCTCTGGCCGTCCCCTGGGCCTGGAATGCTCTCTCTCCCCCACTCTGACCGCTGACCTCCCTGGCTCCCTTCGAGTTCCAACTCAAAGCCCGCCTTGTACAAGAAGGCTTCTTCAGCCCCAATTCATTCCAGCACCTTCCATCTCTTAGTGTGACTTCCTATTTGTCTTGTATAGAGCCTGCTTTCTGTAGATTTGTTTGCATGTTTGTTGTCTCCCCCATGAGATTGTAAACTCCTTAAGGGCAGGGATTATTTTTCTTTTTTTCATATTTATATTCCTCACACGATGCAGTGCTTGGCACCCAGTAGGCCTATGGCAAATGTCTGTTGATGACTGACATATGTGACTCTGAGCATGTCCCTGCCCCTCCCTAGTCTGTCCTGGTTTGAATCATCATGATAAATGCTCATTGACTGACTGACTTCGTTCAAACCCGTAACCTCTTATCATACCTCGTGTGAGATTCTGACTCCTTGGGTGATTCTGGACCAGAACCATTCCCACTCTGGTATCCACAGAGGGTGCTGCACTATGGCTCTATATTCTGTGGGTCAAGGAAGGCTACACCTTAAAATGTAGTCACCATGGACAGAAAAAAGAAAAAAACACCACCACCTAACTTGTCCTAATAATCATCATGGAAGCTGGCTCCCCAGAACAGAATTTTATTGAAAAGTTGTTATTTTTGAACATTTCTCTATGACTGGCTTGAAATGTGAAAACAGGTCATTAGTAACACTTCCCTCTGTTTCTGTTTGGAAAATTAGAAGGGATCAGAAAGTTGTGAGGGAAAAACTATCCAGAAAACAAAAAATGAACATCTTGGCCTTATATCTATCAGGTGATATTCTAACCACAATCATCAAATAAGTGAAGAGCATCATTTCTCCCCAAGTAAGTGAGAATCTGCTTGAACCAGCCCAGATACTGCTCTGGAGGGAGACCCCCAGCCCCTGCTGGCTCATCCTCTACTGGACCTAACCCCCAACACCCACCCCCCTCTGCCTTAGGTTCCCCTTCACCTCAAAGAAGCTGGCCTTCACCTCATCCACTTACTGGGAAGCCTAGGCCTCGGACTGATAGTGAAACCTTCCCCTAGGCCCCTTGCTTTCTCCTCCATACCCGCTGTTTGGGCAGAGATTTTCTGGCCGGAGAAGCTGGCATCTTACTCTGTGCAGGGGAATGAGCGTATACGAAGGTCCTAACCCCACAAGCATATGGTGACCCCAAATCCAGGCTGAGTGAAAGCCCCCGACTTGGGCTCTTGCCACCATTGCCTCTCTGTGACTGATTTTCTCTAGATTTCCAGCTCCAGTTCCCTGGGAAGGAGGTCTGGGGCCATCAGCTCTCCTTTTCTTTCTCAGCCAACAAGCACTTATAGGCACTGTGTTACATGTTTGGGATACAAGTATCAAAAATGAAACCATTTCTGCTGTTCAGCCTTTAGTGAGCCCTGCCTCTGAACTGAACCAAATGCACTGGACTTGGGGCCAGAGATCCTGGGCTTGAGACTGGGCTGTGCTGCTTATAAGTCCCATGATCCTGAGCAGGCCATTGCACCATCTTGAGCCTCAGTGGCCTCAACTGCAAACTGATGTCAGTCTGCTGAACAATGACAGAGGACCTGCCTTGTGGGGATGCTGGGAGAGAAGCCTTTTGGAGACCATAGATCACTCTAGAAGCGGGAGGGCCTGTTTTCCTCCTCCTCCCCATCTGTGTTGCCTTTCCAGGGGCACGCTTCAGTATAAAGCTTCAGAGGTCTGATGAGGGCTGCACTGTGTTGGAAGGCTTCTCTTCATGCATCACATTCATGGACTTTCTCTTTATTGTTGATTTCCTAATGTTTCAGAAGAGAGGAGAAGTTACTGAAGGCTTTCCCACATGTGCTACACCTATAAGGCTGCTCTCCAGTGTGAACTGTCTGGTGTCCAGTAGGGTGAATGATCTGAACAAAGGTTTTTTTCACATTCATTGCATTCAAAGGGTTGAATGCCAGCTGAATCCTTTTGTGTGAGTCCTTTTGTGTTTGACCAGAGTTGGAGAATCACTGAAAGTTTTCTCACAATCATCACACTTATATTGTTTGCTCTAGTGTGAATCCTTTGATGTTTTGTAAAGTGACCACTCTGGCTGAAGTCTTTCCCACATTCTTTGCATTCATAGGGTTTTTCTCCAGTGGGAATTCTCTGGTCTTAGATAAGGGATGAATCATCACAGAAGGCCTTTTACAATGATTGCATTCATAGGACTTCTCCCCAGTATGAATTCTGTGATGCTGAGTGAGGTGTGTACTCTGACTAAAGGTTTACCTACATTGCCTACATTCATAGGCCTCCCACCAGCATGAGTTCTCTGATGTCTTGTAAGATTGGCACTCTGGCTGAAGGATTTTCCACCTTCATTGAATTCAAAGGGTTTCTCTCCCATATGTACCGTCTGCTGCTTAATGAAAGATGAATGATCTATGAATACTTTCATGCATTCCCTGCATTCATAGGGCTTCTTTCTAGTGTGAATCCACTGGTGTTTAAGAAAGGATGAAGAGTGACCAAAGCCTTTTTTACACATTTCATTCATGGGTTTTTTCTCTCCAGTGTGAATCCTCTGTTGCTCAGTAAAGTATGTACTCCTGCTGAAGGCTATGCCACATTCATTACCTTCAAAGGGTTTGTCTCCAGTGTGAACCCTCTGGTGCTTAGTAAGGTGTGCATTTCAACAGAAGGCTTTCCCACATGTTTTGCATCTAAAGGATTTTTCATCAGCGTGAATTCTCTGACATCAGGTAAGGGAAGAAGGAATCACTTCTTTAGCACACATTGCACATACAAGGCTTTTTGCTCATGTAGATTCTTTTGTGTTGGTTATGGTTAGGTGTGCAATCTCTTCTTGTGTCCCTCCTTGCCTCTCATATATATCATGAGGCTCTGCTGGAGGGACTTGGTGCTGAGAAATAAGACCTGGCCTTAGACCTGAGTTTCTCCCAAATTCTCCATTCTCATGGCTTTGTTTCACAATGAGTAACCTCTTCCCAGGGATGTTGGCTCGCTTCGGATATCTCTTCTGGTTTTCCTCCTGCCTTTCTAATTGGAAATGGCATTCCCAAACTTCTCCTAATATGGAGTTACAGATCATCCTTTCTCAATCTTTGGAATGGTTTGTCTTCATAACTTTTCTGCTTTGGAGTATACTCCTTGAACTCAGTCTGAAAGATCACCAACATGACACATATCTTCTGATCTTAGCCACTTGCTGTGGCCCAGATGTGCTATCCCATCTCCCATCTGTGAGCCTTTGTATCGGCTGTCCTGTGCGCCTGCAATGCCTTCCCTGCTCACTCTCCCTCTTAGAGTCCTTAGATTCCCTCAAAGCTCAGCTCAAGTGCCACATGCTAGACACAGGAAGCCTCCCCCTGCCTGCCCATGAGTGGGTGCGGGCAAGGCCAGGGAAAACAGAACAGTTGGGACCCAGAGGTTACTTAGGGACAAAAAAAGATCAGAAGTGGATGAAGGCTTTTCAGCACCTCAGTGTGGTCATTCATTTACTGGGCCAGTAGGTGTCCCAGAACTGGGTCATTGGCAGCTCTGGCTGGCTGGTTTTCTAAGGATGGCTTTGCTTTTTAGCTAAGGATGACATAGGGCTTGAGTTTGACCTTTTAAAGGACAGAGCACAGGTGCTAGGAGAAAAGGGGGGACTTACTGGGGAAAGGGGGGTCACTGACATACATAGAAACTCCGACTTTTCCCATATGTTGGTGCATTTTGCTGAGAATGTTTTCCCAAAGAATAAAGAGCTTGGCTCCCTGGCCAGCCATGGTGGTCCATGCTTAGAAACCTTACCCCTAGAGAGGCTGAGGCTGGTGGATTGTCTGTGCTGTGGAGTTCCGAACTACAATAAGCTAAGCAGATCTGGTGTCCTTACTAAGGCCAGGGCCAATGTGAGAAGGCCCTAGGTTGGGAGAGAGAAACCAAGGTGCCTAAGGAGGGGTGAACTGGCCCAGTTGGTCAGTCAATAAACATTTATTAAACACCAGTTAGGGATCAGATGCTGGAAATTTTGGTTTCTTTCCTGTCCAACTCTTTGTGACCCCATATACAAATAAAAACAAAGACAGTCATTGCCCTCCAGGAGCTTACAATCTTATTGGGGAAGACAAGACACAAAAGGAAGCTGAAAGGGGGATGGGGTGGGGAGAAGATACCAGACTTTGGGGTAGGGTGAAGTCAGTCAGAGAAGTCCAAAGTGGTATAGCCAGAGGAGAAATGAGATGTGTGAGCTGATGAGATCTTACAGGATCAGAAGAGGGACTGGGCTCATGAAATGGCCCCTACAATTCCAGACTGAGCAAGACAGAAGAGGAAGAAAGCAAGAAGGAAAAGAAGGAAGGAAGGAAAGAAAGAACAAAAGGAAGGAAGGAATGAAAGAGAAAGAAAGGAAAGAAAGAAGGAAGAAGGAAAGAAAGGAGAAAGAAGGAAAGGAATAAAGGAAGGAAGAAACGAAGGAAGGAAGAAAACTGAATCCCATAGCAAGATATTCAGCACAAAGCAGGTACTTTTGAAATGTCTGACAGGTTAAAAATCTTGGGCAGAGCTTTGGTCACAAGGGTCCTATGAGGGAGGAGTTGCAGGGGCATGACTCCTATTCCCACAAGAGAATTTATTCTGATCTCATTTTAAGTGAAACTATTATTATTATTATTATTTATACTATATCAGGAAACTTGTTAGCTGCATGGTTTTAAGCCAAATTAGCCCAGTTATATGATTTCTAATGTGTATAAAGATAATGCCTAATATTAATTTGATAATTTACTGTATTAGAAATGTGAATTCTTTCATTCTTTTGGGTTATGGATTTAACTCTTAAAAGATTGATGTAAATTAATAACAATAAGAGTAAGAATAATCAGTAGTCGATTAGAAACTGGGTTAGGGTGTCATTATGTTAAGATTTCAGGATCTAGCCCCATGCTTAGGTAAAAGTACAGTTAAGAACTAGAAATTGCAAAGGAAAAGATGTTTAGAAATCTGTCTGTAATCCAGCTTTAGTTTAAGAGTAAGGTCAGATAATCATCTGGTTAATCATGTCCACCCACCTTTCAGGATAAATACGTAGGAAGGCCTTATTAAATCTAACACTACATAAATATTGGCTATGCTAAAGATATTGGTTATTATGATTTGTGATTGTTATATAAAATCTTAAATAGTTCTGTGTACTGTTCAATTATTTAATTATTATTTAACTATTTAACTTCCTCTGTGAAAGCTCTTGCAAGTATCTGCCTGGGGAAACTGGCCACACCTGCCAGCATTAAATCAAATTCCTTGGGTCTCCCTGCCAAAAGGCCAATTTAGAATTCTGGGATATTTTAGCCCAGTATATTTAAAGCTGACCTGATGATAACAGGTGTGACTTCAAACTGTTTATAAAACTTCATATGTATTTCCTAGTATACGCAGCTTGAAATTCCTGGGAGGAAGGGGCTCTGGTGAGCTGGAAAACTTAGGGCAGCTCTTTGTTTGAAAAGTCTCAAACAAAAGTAAAAGAGGCAGGCGATTGGGAAGCAGGAAAAGTTTATGCGGAGCAGGGAATCATCACCACCTGTCTAAACACAAAGGACCCCAGTTTACTGTTCTGTAAGGGGATGTAAGAGCACCTACCTCCCAGGGGCATTATGAGGATTACATGATTGTGAAGTGCTTGGCACGGGGCAAACGCTATATGAACGTCAGCTGTTTTGATTATCTCTTTAACTAGGTGGAATTGCTTCATATTTGGTAATTTGATATAGGTTTTTAGATGTGATCAATATACAATGTCAATGGTAAGGAGATGAATGATTTTCTGTGTAAGGTAATTTTGAAATTCATTCAACTGAACTGAGGCTACCTGATTTACCAATCAAGATTACCAATGGGTTTTGTTTCAAGTTACATTGTTTATAGTATCATTTTATTTCTAAATTTTCTTATATTACATAATCTGGTAAACAATCAGTGATTTGTCTTAAAATCCAGATGTTGTTAAATTAAAAATTGTACTGTTAAAAAAAAAAAAGAATGTATGGGTTAGGAAGCTGTTAAGTCATTCTACCTGCCCCGCTGGCCATGTGCTATAATATTCTGAAGCTCTGTAATGAAGAACTTAACTTCCAAGTTTTGCCTATGTTTAAGAGAAAGTTTTATCTAAAGCTGTTTTGGCTATCACTTATGAAAACTATGAGATTGGTAGCTAAGCTATTTGGAGTTACTGTTATAATGTTAACACCTCTCAAGTATTTACATAGGTATTTTAAAAAGGAAGATTGGTTATTGTACAAAGAAAAGACCTTGTAAAATCTCCTTTGTAAACTTATGAGGATTCTTGGAACCATCTAGTCAAATTCTTATCAACCCTGTGTAAGAGCTTGTGTTGTGGGATTCCTGCTGAGTAAATAGGAATCTTCACACAAAATGGGGGTGTAATCTTTAAGCCTGCTTAGGATATTGAGCAAGCTTCATCTAAGGATACATTTATAGAAGACTAATTTAATAGGGTACATTTTTTTGGGCTTAGAATAACTGAATCTCCTCCCCATTGTAAACACTTTTTGATGAGACAGGGGTGGTTAACTAGGAATTTTGTGGTAATCAGGAATTTATCTTTTTACAATACTTTAGGGATTTATTTGTTACTTAAAGACATTTTATACCAACTTAGTCTTGATGAATTCAAATTTTAAACATTTGTTTTTTGCTTTAAGGTTGAATAAGAGAGATATCTATAAGTTTAGAATTAAGCTTTTTAACATCAGGATAAATGTTAAGCTGTCTAAGAAAGGGAAATACTTTTAGGAAGGAATGTTTAAGTAAAAAAAACTTTTGTAAAAGACTCTTGTGTGATTTTTAGAGGGTCTGAAAATCTCTTAACTGTAAGCTAATTTATTGTAATAATTTTATGGTATTGATAATAATTGTATGCAGACCTATAGTGATTAGGGAGACTTTATAGTTTGAGGAGATAGCTTTTTGGGATCCTGAGTGTTATTTCTGAGTTCCATTCTTAGGTTTGTTGTGTCCTCGGACTGGCCTTAAAGAGAAATGTCAGCAGTCGAAGCAACACCTGAGATCTAAGGCTAGTGAATATCTATCTGTCCATACCTGTCCCTGATGGTACTCTTCTTAATTCATTGTCCCATACAAGAAATCTGTCCACCTGGTTCCATATGCGACAGAACTTATAGTGATATAGGCCTTGAGGACCAGTTTGGATGCTGTTATAACCATGTCCCTGCTCATATCTCTCATAGCAAATTTCTATTCTCAGGGTATAGACAAAGTATAGGGTTGCCATTGCAATACTGAGTCTATTAGTTATTAGATTAATACTAAAGCATCTGAATTACTGCAATAAGCTGTAAGTGGGAAAGATATTGTTGTCTTGACCTGAATTTATTGCTATGCCATGGCCTAAGCAAGAGTTAAATTAGTACTTGAACTTGTCATACATAAAGATTCACTTCCTGAAGTATCTAATTCTTTCAGAATAATATGAGTATAATTAGACAAGGGCAGAGAGGGTTGTGAAGCAAAGATGTAAATCTATTAAGTTGTGAGGTTAAAGTCAGGAACCTCTTGTTTTTGTTTTAAGGAATAGAATTTTATCACAGACAGTTATGTTAGTGAAGAGTAGTAACTCATGAGCTATCTTGTGTCACCTTAACGGGAAATCTGATTTTACTGTGTAGAAATGCATGCAAACTACTTCAGAGACACGTTAAGGATGTTCCCAAGTTTTAATAGGATTCTGAGAGCAGTAGTCTATGTTATGTCCATTTGAATGTGGTTAATAACTGAACATGTTTTACTATAGACAATGTTTCATATATCCATTCTCTGTATGCAATTTGGGATTATTATATTTACATAACCAAATCTTTTGTTGTTTGCTATTAACCATTTTAAGGCAAAATCAGTTAGGGGAAAAAAAATCTACTTAGCATGAGTTCTAGTTATATCAAGATGTGATTTTTCTGTGATGAATATCCTACTATTACCAATGTGAGAATATAATCAATACTTGTTATCTAGGATATGTGATCCTTGAGAGCTGAATCCACCTGAAGCTCTGATTATTGGAACTTGCTATTTAAGACCTCATGGGACTGCTAACTGATATTATTCTCAGTTTGACTCTAGGTATGATCATCAAGGAATACTACTGAGCCAATGAATTGATGATGCCAACAATCTTATGGGGTTTTACATCCATGAACTGCAGGTGGAGTTCTCATGGAAAAAAGGTCGGGGGGAATGACTTTTGGCATTGACTTAGGTAGGATTTCCCTGACTGTATTCTTCCAGTATGACATTTCCTCTTGAATGGAAAATATCCCACCTGCCTGACTTTAATACTGGCTCAATGGAACTGGTTATCTATGTAACTTTTGCCTGGAATTAACAACAAGATAAGGGGCCATTTTCCATTATGTTTCTATTCTTTTATGGCAAATTTCTATAATCATATCAGATCATCAGTATGAATACAATAGTAAATGTTTATCTCATAGGCTAATACTGAAGCACATCTGAGTTACTATAGTAAGACTCAGGTACAAGATTTGAGCTCTTTAGCCCAGAATGTTAGTCCTTTCTATATTCTAAACAACTAAGTATGAAGCCTTGACATCTGTTACTAGCTATATATTCCTGTGTAAGTTAGATTTCTTTAATTTCTCACAGTGGGATGGGGATAATTAGGCAAATGATGCAGACTTGTGAAACCAGGATACAATTCTGTTATTTAGTGATTACCATAACTGTCTCTGTTCTGTATTAAGGAAAGGAACACCAGTACAGTTAGCAGTCTTAGAAGAAGAACGGCCTGGGGCCTATCTTGTAAATGCCCTAAAAAGACATCCACTTTTGTTATGAGCTACTCATTGGAACGTAGCTAGAAGTTGACAATGTTTTATTATAAATAACTTACTTGATATACACTGTTTTAAAATTAATTACTCTGTATTTACATATCCCATCCCAGAACCTTTTGTTACAGCTGAAGTTAATCTGGCAACTTTTAAATGAATTTATTTTGGTAGTATAATCCATCTTCTTATAAAAAGTGTTCTGTTATTAATTCCTTAGTGGAATCTCATCCTCCTAATGGGGGAATGAATAATGCCAAGTGTAAATATTGGGTTCTAATTTTGTTTATATATGAGTTTCCTATATATATCACCATGGAAATTGGCCAACCTAAAAATGTAAATTCCCTGGTTTAAAAGGTTCCAAATTTGATTTTCTAATAATAAACATAAGGTTTGAGCTAACTCTCATTATCTGACCTGGTTATTGGCAAAGTCAATTTAAAATAATATTAAAACCAATTTTATTCGAAATTTTTAGTGGGGGAAGATAATTTGTACAAGTGACCTGAGCAGGAGAAGAACTGCTGAGACCACACCCAGACCACAGGATCACATCAGATGTTTCCAGAGGAACAGAATGAGACACATCTATGAACTGCACAATTCTATTGTTGTTTACTTTTCCCCTTTGTGCCTCTTATCTGTAAGCCCACTTCTATTGGTGTTACAACAAACCTTGCAACTTTGTAAGACAGTTTGGGTGCTTGAATTCTTTCCAGGTGGACTCTCCTGCACCCTGACATTTCCAAGTTCCCAGCAACTCCAACCCCATCAGCTCTAGAGTAGGTGAGGCTCGTGACTCTGCACAGCCCTCCTCACTGCAATCCAATTCACTTGCATGTCATGGCATCATCTTACTGATGTCATGGTCCTCTTGGAGAATGAAGGACAAACAACAATTCCTTGTATTCCCTTAGCACAGTGTCTAGCTGTCGGACTGTGCCTCAGGGTTCTCACTCAATTCATCAGGTGCCAAATTCTGTCATTTTAAATTCCACAACTGATCTCATCTCTCTCCCCTGGTGTCCCCTCACACGCCATCACTCCTCCCCTAGACTGCGCCAAGCCCCTGCCCCTGCCCTGCAGTTCCCCCTGGGATGGTCTTTCTAGCTTGCGTTTGAAGGTTCCTACCCCTTCCTCTCTCTTTCCACACCCTTCCAATCTCTTTCTGGCTCTGAGAGAACTCGCTTTCTTTTTTCAAGTCCAAGCACACCTGGTTGCATCAATTAAATTACGGGAAAAAGTCAAGTCGTTCCATAAGGAACGTATCTGGATAAAAGGGAGAAGGGGAAAAAGAGGGAAGCACATAGAGATGGAGAGACAGGGAGAAAAGAGGGAGGGGGAGAGGAGAGACAAAGAGAGGGGAGGGGGAGAGAGACATGAAGAGAGGAAGGAGATGGGGAGAGGAAGAGATAGGGAGAGACAGAGAGAGGAGAGAGAGAGGGAGGGAAGAAAAGGGCAAAGACAGAAACGGAGAGAGACATGGAAAGAAGCAGAGAGGGAGGGGTGATAGAGAGAGAAGGAGGGAAGGGAGAGAGTGAGAGGGAGACAGAGAAATGAAGAGAGGAGGCAGAGACACAGAGACGGGGAGTGACAGAGACAGCAGGATGAGAGGAAAGGAGGCGGGAGGGAGACGAGAGGGGGGGCTGTGAGGCGGGCCAGGGCCGGGGAAGGAGATGGAGGGAGGAGGGGGAGCGGCCGACGCTCTTCTGGGGGAAGGGGAGCCGGAGGACTGAGGACCCTGAGGCAGGGTCTAGGCGCCTCTGGGAGGAGGGGCCGCATAGCTCCCCCAAACCGAAGGGGACGGCCCTGGGTGGAGCCCGGGGATCATTGGTCCCTTCCTGGAAGCCGGGTAGGTGGGCGCCATGACCCCGACCGCTCCCTTCCTGTGATTGGGTGCCCGTAGAGCTGAGCGCAGCATCTGGCACATGGGTCCCACGGGTGCTCTGCCCGCTGGCGGGCGTCAGGCGCTGGGACGGGGCTGGGGAGGAGGAGGGAGGAGTCGCTCCCGCGGTTGTCATGGAGACAGAACGCTCGCCCTCCCCGGTGGAAAGCTGGAGCAGACGAGTCCGGTTTCACCGCCCTTGGTCATGAACATGCGCAGTAGGCACGCAGGGGGCGGGCCGAAGGAGCGGAAGGCAATCTCAGGGGGGATGCTGGGAAGTGTAGTCGAAGGTTGCTGGGACGCAGGCGCACTGTGTCACCCGAGGCTCGGAATGCGCGCGTAGTTCCGTCCACCATTGCAACCCTTCTCCGCCCTCTTGGCCTCGATGCTTCTGCCGGTGTCTGTTTTCCCGCGCCCCCAGGGAAACGCCTTCGCAGGCGGTATGTTCCTTCCACTGCGCCAGAGGCAGGGAAAGGGCGGAGCTAGTGACGTCACAAGGGCTGGTCTTCCGGACCACAAAGGAGCTGCGGGCCTGGTGATGTCATCTGTTACTGGGGTCTCTAGGCAGAGGCGGAGAGGAGGAGGGACGGAGGAAGGGCGGGGATAGTGACGTCACCTGTTGCTGGGGCCCCAGGAAGAAGAGGAGCTGGGTCTCCTGTGGTCTCCAATAGTTGGGCACACAGCAGGTGCCTAATATGTGCCTGTTGAGTCCTACGATGGTATAGAATGATGAGCTGGCCTCAAAGTCAGGGGAGGCCCATGTTTTTTGTGAGCCTCAGTCTTCTCATGTGGACAATGGAGACAGTCCTCAGTCAGTGGGCTCTTGGAAGCTCAGAGGACCCCTTCCACAGCCCCAGGAATTCGAGCCTCTCCTTTGGCTGCTGGCTGATCTTGGGCAGGGGTCCTCTTGAACCTCAGGCTCCTCTTCTGGCCCAGGAGACTGATCTGGGAGGGGTCGGTTCTGCAGTCAGTTGGGGTCTCTGGCTCCCATATATCCCCGGAGGGTCCCATGTCATGGATTCCTGTGGCTGAGCTGTGGAAGGGAGGCCTCGGCTCCCTCCTGCTGACGTCCCCCTCCTACCCACAGCAGCCACCCTTGAAGGGACGGTCAGCAAGGCCTCAGGCTGGGGCCCTGGAGGGTGACTTCCTGTGCGGACCCCTGAAGGCAGCAGGCCTGACCTCTGTCTACCTGAGGAAGCTCTGAGGCCAGAGGACCCAGTGGAGGACTTGGACCCTGAGACTGCAGGGGAGATTGGCTGGCCCTAGTGAACCCCCACTGAGGACAGCTTAGCCCTGCTGGCCTGGATGCTTGAGGAAGGAGGTAAGGAGGGGATTTGGAGTCAGGGGCCCTGGGTTTGATCTTTAAGGCATGTTCTTTCCTTTGCCTGAGCCTCAGTTTCTCCATCTATAAAATGAAGGGCTCTGAGCTATGACAAATTGTGGAGTGGAATGGAGAAGCAGGTTTTCAGCATTTATCGGGGGCCAAGTGTGGGGTGAAGGGCTGGAGATGTGTAGAGCAAGATCTTCCCTCCTGCTCTCCAGCATACCTAGGTTGGGGTGGGATGTTGGGGTTTCCACTAGAGACCAGAGAAGGGGAGGGAACAGCCTTCTGTGCTGCCCTCTTCAGTCATGGCTGCCCCTTCCCTTGGCGAGGGAACTGGAACCCTCCCTGCTCCCCAGAGTCACTTTTGGCTTCTCCCCTTCCTCACCACTCAGTGACCTCGCCTCCTCCGAGGTCCGTGCTGGTCACACCTACACTCAGTCAGAGGCCAGGGTCACATGGGATGTGCCCCTTCCTCCCTCCGGGAGCTCGGTACCAGCTCACAGACTTCACCCCCAGCTCCTGCCCTACTAACCAGGGACTTCCAAATAGACACTGACTCTCCTTCAGACACCCAAACCACTCAATTCCTCACCCTGCTCACCTCCACTCCCCTCAGCCACACACAAAGATGGCCACACCCTGGATCTTGGCATCCCCCACCAACGTAGCACCTCTGTGGTTACTCACCTCTGTGATCTAGAATTCTGGAATCCCCTTATCCAACCCCGATCTATTGTCTTGTCTCCTCTCCCTCTGGCTCCCCTACATAACCCTACCCTCCCTGACCCCTCAGCCTTCTCCCCTGCACCAGCCACCCCCTTTTCTTCTCCCCATCTGGACCCATTGGGAAACCAGATCAGTTTTACACTGTCCTCCTCTCGTGAATCCTTCAATCTCTTGTCGTATCCCCCCATGCCCCCCAAGCCTCAGCCTTGACTCACTCCCACCACTGACCTCCTTCACACATATACTCATGATGGTGAATGAAGGTGGAGAAAACCAGCTCTGACCCCTCCCCCCCCAACTGGGCCCTTACTGCTCCCTCCCTCATCATCGCCCTCTCCCAAACCTTCTCAAGCCTCCTCAAACCTCCCATAGCTTTTCCACCCCACCCCCCCAACTCTCACAGCTCAGACCCTGCCTCCTATTTTACAGAAAAAATCGAGGACATTCACTGTGAGCTCCTTCTCCTCCCCTCTTCCTCCCCTCCCATCATCCAGGTGCCTTCTGCCCCTCTCTTCCCATAATGAGGTGGGGCTGACCCCTGCCTGAGGCTGACCCCTCCACCTCCTCAAGTGAGCCCCTTCCATCCCGTCTCCTCCAACAGATTGTTCACTCTGTCACCCCCCTCTCTCATTTATCGATAATCTCTCCCTCTCTCAGCCTGCAAACATGCCCGTGTCTCTTCCATCCTGAAAAAACCCACTCTTGACCCTCCTGTCTCTACTAACTATCTTTCTGTGTCTCTTCCGCCCTCCTCAAATTACTGCAATGGTCTCTCCTCTCTCTTTCTAATCACTTACAGTCTGACTTCACCATTCCATCCAAACTGCTCTCTCCAAAGTGACCAGCGGTGTCTTAGTGGCCAAATCCAATGGCCTTTTCTTAGTCCTCAGTCTCCTGGGCATCTCTGTAGTGTTAGACACCAGTGATCACTCTCTCCTCCTGAATACTCTCTTCTCTCTAGGTTTTCAGAGCACCCACTCTCTCTTGGTTCTCCCCCTTCCTCTTGGAGCACTTCTGGGTCTTCTTTGCTGGATCTTCCTCCAGACCATGTCCTCTAACCATAGGTGTCCCTTTTCCCTTCTTTCTCCATACTACTTCACTTGATGACCTACCTCATTGGCTCCCATGGATTAAAATTACCATCTCTATGCTGATTCTCAGATTTACTTCTTCTGTCTCAAACTCCTTGCTGATCTAGAATCTTCAACTGCCTTTCAGACATCTCAAACTGGATGTCCAGTAGAGAACTTAAACTTAACATGTCCAAATTAGAACCCATTATCTCTCCCCCTAACTCCCCCCTTCTAACTGTACAGGGTACCCCAATCCAGTTCTTCAGGTTCTCAACCTAGGAGTCATCCTGGACTCTTCACTCTCTCACCCCCCAGATCCAATATGATGTCAAGGCCTGTCGATTTCACCTCTGCAGCATCTCTGGTTGATTTCACCTCTACACTGTCTCTGGTCCATTTCGCCTGGGCAGCATCTCTCCAATACTCCCCTTTCTCTCCTCTGACACTGCCCCCACCCAGGCACAGGCCCTTCATCACCTCATACCTGGGCTATTGCAATAGTTGCTGGGGGCACTACCTGCCTCTAGTCTCTCCCCACTCCAGTCCATCCTCCATTCAATGACCGGAGGGATTTTCTTAAAGTGAAAATGTGACCATGCCTCCTCTCTTTAACACCTCCCCCCCAAATAACCTTCAGTGGCTTCCTGTTGCCTCTGGGAGCAAATACAAAATGCTTCATGTCAGTCAATCCGTATACATTTATTAAGTGCCTTCTATGTGCCAGGCACTGCACTGGGGATACAAAAACAGGCAAAACAATTTTTCCTGACCATCTGCTCAGCCACCATGGCCTCAGGCATCACCATGTGGTAGGTCCCCCCGGCCAAAGATTCCTGGCTTTGAGACAGCTGGTAGTGCAGTGGATGGAGCACTAGGCCAGGAATCAGGAAGATCTGAGCTGTAATTCTGCCTAGCTAGCTGGGCAACCCTGGGCAAATCTCTGATTTTCTGTCTGCCTTAGTTTTCTCATCTGTAACATAGGGATAATAATGGTACCTACCTTGAAGGATGCTGTGAGGATAAGATAATACTTTCAGTCAGTCATTAAGTCAATAAATAGTTAAGCCCCTATTATGTGCCAGGCACTGTATAAAGCCGTGGGGATTTAAAAAGAGGGAGAAGACAGTCCCTGCCCCCAAAGAGCTCACATTCCAATAGGGAAGACAACAAGTAAAACAGGTATACCAGGCAAGCTCTATCCAGGATAAGAAGGAGATAATAGCAGAGGGAAGGCACTGGGCTTAAGAGGGGTGGGGGAGGCTTCCAACAGAAGGTAGGATCTCAGTTGGGACTTGGAGGAAGCAGGAAGTCAGTAGATACAGGAAAGTGGTGGAGAGCATTTCAGGCATGAGGGACGGCCAAAGGAAATTCCCGGAGTGAGAGGTGGAGCGTTTTGTTGGTGAAACAGCCAGGAGGGCCTCCACCCCCTTATAGGAAGAATCAGAGCTAGTGACTTCTGCTCATCTAAGCAAGGTGAGAGGGTGCATCCCCAGCCAATGAGGGGCCAAGGGCCCTTGACTCTACTTACCTCCTGGGAAGGGGGATGGGTTGGGGGGGGTCACTATCCAACCCCCATAAGAACAGGACAGTAAGGCTGGAGGCAGAGGAAGGGAACGGTTTTTTCCATGGCATCTGTGAGCTGCACCTTGACCTTGGGTTGGGGTCTGGGTAGCACTAGCCAGCCTGAGCCTGGGGAGGTGAAAGGACAGGATGGGAAGGGCGGGGGATGGGGAGAAGCCACCTAATGGCCCAAGGGGTAGAGGATCATGGGCTCTGGGGATCAGGGGACTCCCCTGGGTCTGGTGCCCTGACTCTCCTTCCTGCCTCCCACTCCCAACTGGGGCCTCGGTCTCAGAGTAATGGCTCCTACAACACCTGCTGGCTCTGTGATCTAGGGCTGTCATTTACTCATTCTGAGCCTTAGTTTCCTCAGCTGCAAAATGACTACTTTGTTGGCCCACACAGTGTTACCTACTGGCTGTGGAAATGAGTCTTTAGCCTCCTGATCATTCCTCTGTCGGTATTCAGTGACTCCAGGGTCTCTCCCTGCCCATCCTGGGACATCTTGTCCACATCTGTTCTGCTCCCTGCTCCCTCCTTGGAGTTATTGAGCTCAGGTCCTTGGAGGGGCTCCAGAGGGTTGGGGGGTGATGGGTGGGGCCAGGTGGGTCTGTGGCTGTTCTCCCTCATGGTCTCTTTGTCCTGCCCAGCTCTGTCCTCTGAGGGGATAGCCTGCACCCAGACTCCAGGCGAGGACTTAGGCATGGCCCCCATGGGATCCCCAGTGGACACTTCCAAGGTGAGCTTCCTTCCTGAAACATTGCCAGGTCTCAGGGCCCCCTCCTTGTGCCTGCAGTGGCCCTTGCTGTCCCTCCTGCTCCCTGGGGATACTGGGCTCCCCTGGAAGGTGATGGACACCTTGGGAGACAGGCCCTATGGCTCCCTGCTGTCCCCTCCTTGTCCATCCCCTGCTTCCTGAGTGGGGGCTGCCTCCAGGCTCCCTCAGCTGCTGCTCATCTGGGGCGGTTCACAGTAGCCAGGGTCGCTCCCTTCCCCCTCACCCCTTGCCAATGAGATGCTGGTGGGCCGTGTCTTTTTTTCTGACCCCTAGGCCAGTCTTCTTTGTATCCGGCCTGGTCTGGTCTTTGCCACAGCCGAGTCTCCCCTTCCCCAAGATGACAGTCAGCCCCTCAAGGCAGAGACTGTGGTGTGTCCTGCATCTGGACCCTACTCCCCTCCCCTGGAGACCCTTGGTAAAAGCCCTGGGTCCCCAGCCCACCGGGCCCTGTCCAGGTCCCCTGGGGTCCTCCATCCTTCTGTTCTGGGGCCAGCAGACGTGTGCTTCGTGTTTCAGGAGCCTGTGACTTTCAGGGACGTGGCGGTGGACTTCACTCCTGAGGAGTGGGGGCGACTTGGTCCCTCTCAGAGGCAGCTGTACCGGGAAGTGATGCTGGAGACCTACCGGAACCTGGTCTCCCTGGGTAAGGTGGCTTCCCCTACATCTCCCCCCCAACCCATAATTCGGTATCTGCCGGGAGGGAGGGGATAGAGAGAAGGAGGGAGACAGGGTTGGAGTCTCTGGGAACTGAAAGGTCAAAGCCGTAGGGGAGGTCAGTCAAGCCCCCTGGGCTCTTGATAGCCTTCATTGAATTCATTCCCTTCTCTGGGTCTTAGTTTCTTCATCCATAGAATGGGAAACTTGGATGAGGCTCAGGACCTGTGACTTGTAAGAGGGGTCTGTCCCCTCTTACAGCTGTCCTGGGGCCAGGCAGTGTCCAGCAAGGGGCTGTCCTGTGGAGGGGTCGGGCCTGAGCTCAGCTCGCTCTCCAGCATGCGTTGAGGATTCTCCCCTCTCTATATCACAGGGCTGCCTGTTTCCAAACCGGACATGATCTCTTGGCTGGAGCAAGGGGATGGCGACCTCCTCCAAGCACATCCCCACCATCCTCCAGGTCATTCCCTGTCCTTTGTCCCTGAGCTCATGGCCTCATTCTCCACCCGCTCACATTCTTGGGGACCTCGGTGTCTGTCCTGATGCCCTGGCAAACACCCTGGCCTCAGGCCTCAGGTGTTGCACTGTCTGTCAGAGGTGGTCACTAGTGGAGCTCAGCCTGTGATCTCTGCAGAGTTCAGCTCTAGGACCCAGGATTCTCTACTCTCTCCTCTATCTGTGGGTCCATCTCTCAATCTGCTGGCTCCTCCCAACCTCATGTTGGTCTTCAAGCCCCTGCCCTGCCCAGGCATGACCAGTGCCTGTGACCTTTCCCTGCCTGCTCTTTCTGCTGTCCCTGTGTCCTCCTTCCTCCTGGTGCCACCCCGCTCCTGCATGCTGTCCCCTTCTCCCCTGTGCCATGCACCCCTCCTTTCCTGTGCTACAGATCTAGTGAGGATGCCTCCTGAGTCTAGAGAGATCTCTCTCAGGTCTCCTCTGGCCCTGAGGCCATGGCTTCCCCGAATGCTGATGGGGACAGCTCTCCTGTTCAGGGCACATCTCTGGACATGAATTCTGAGGGCCTCTGCCACTCCCCTCCCTGGCCCAGCTTCTGGTTCTGCCCTCAATGGAGCCAGAAGAGCAAGCCTGGCCTTCCAGAGGTATCCCAATATATCATGTCCCCTCAGGGACTGAATGTGTGCAGTCCCTGAGGAGCTGGTCCTCAAAGGATTTTTATCACCAGAGGGTAGAGTTAAAAAGTCATCTTGTCCAACCCCTCATTTGGGCAGATTTGGGAATAGTCCAAGAAGGGAGATTGGGCACTCAATGCAGAGTGGGGATTCAAACCCAGGCCCCTGACTCCAAATCTGAGGTGTTTCCTCTGCCCTGCTACTTAGCACTTCAACATCAGTCAGTCAATCAGTATCACACATTGAGCTAAGTGCTGGAGATACAAAAAGAGGCCAAAGACAGTCCTTTCCCTCAGGGAGCTCACAGTCTAATGGCGGAGGCCACAAACAAGCTCTATCGAGGATAAATAGGAGATAATTGACAAAGGGAAGGCACTAGAATTAAGAAGGTTTAGGGAAAGAAGTAGGATTTTAGTTGAGACTTGAAGAAAGCCAGGAAGAAGAGCATTCCATGTATGGGAGACAACCAGAGAAAATGCCCAGAGCCAGGAGGTGGATCGAGGAGCATGTGCTGAGGAGCCATTGGAGTTTGGGAAAGGGAATGTTGGCCCTGAGCTTTAGGAAAATCATTTTAGTGGTTGACTGGAGGATGGATTGGAGTGGGGAGAGACTTGAGGCAGGCAGACTCCCCAGCAGCTATTGCATCAGGGCCAGGCGTGAAGTGACGAGATCTGCATCAGGGTGGGAGTGGTGTCAGAGAAGAGAATGGGACGTATAGGTGAAGGTGACCAGAGGTGCTGCAGAGGTGAAATGGACCAGAGATGCTGCTGAGATGAAACGGACCAGAGGTGCTGCAGAGGTGAAACGGACCAGAGGTGCTGCAGAGGTGAAATGGACCAGAGGTGCTGCAGAGATGATATTGAACAGAGATGCTTCAGAAGTGGTATAGTCAGGCCTTAGTAACATCCTGGTTGCCCCCCCCTTGAACCTCCTTTGGCTTGTCGACTTCCATCGTCTGACCAGGGCAAGGGATAGACATTGTCTCTTCCTTATTCCTTGTTCTTAATGTTGCTCAACTCCACATCCCATGATTCACTCATCTTGGGTCAGCCCGTCCTCTGAAAGCCTCTCATTTTCAGGCAGATGCTGCCTGGCCAGACCTCTCTTGCCTTGGACTGGGGATAGTGGTTTTTTGAACTCAAGTGTAAATCTTTTCATTTTCCCCTATTCAAATCTGTCTTACTCAGTTTAGTGCAGTGCTCAAGCCCAGTGTTTCTCAACCTTTTTGGTCTCAACAATTATTGAGGACTCTCAAAAGGTTTTGTTTGTGGGGCTTATATCTCTTGACATTTACCTTGATGGCAATTAAAATGGATAAATTTTAAGAACATTAATCTATTAAAAAATAAAAATAAACCCACTACACATTAGTGTAAATAACATTTAAAAATAACTATATGTCACCAAACAAAAGAAGATGAGTGAGAAAAATAGCATTATTTTATGTATTTTTGCAAAGCTTTTTAATAAGACAGTTGGATTTTCCTATCTGCTTCTGCATTCAATCTGTTGCAATATATTGTTTTGGTTAATATATGTGAAGAAAACCCTCCCTTAGACATACAGGAACAGGGAGGAGTATTTTAATAGGCAAATGACATCTTAGTATTAGTATGAAATTCTTTTTGACTCTAAGGATCCCCCTTTAGGGTCTTGGAGACCACTGTGTATATATGTACTGTGTACATACCAGTATCCTCGCCCATTAATATTCTCTTGGTTTCTGATTCTTCTATCCAGGAAGTTAGCTCTTCCTCCCTTCCAGTGTTATTTGCCTGTATGATGAGTATGCCAATTATGCCTTTATTCAAATCATTGCTAAGCATGCTTAATAGCCTACGGCCCAGCATAGATACCCAAGGTACTCCCTTGGAGACCTCCTGACACTGAATCAGTCACTTAGCCGCCACTTCCCAAGGTGCTCTTTTCCACAAGAGCAGCGTGAGAGATTTTATCAAATGCTTGGCTCTAATGGAAGTAAACCATAACTCCATCTTTCCTCTCATCTCTTAGTTTAGTGACCCTGTCCCAAAATGAAATGTGACAAGTTTGGCAGGATTGATCCTTTCCTCACCTGTTATAAATTTCCAAACATGTCAAGATTTGAGAACAGTGAGGAGGGTTGCATAAGAAACCATGAGTTTTTGTGACACATCTCTGTTAGGCTAACAAGGGAGTAAGAACATGTGTGTCCTGCCCTTTCTGCTCATTAAAAAGGTTTTATTGCTGCTTTTTTTCCTCCCCCCGGCGAAGCCCTTCTTTGTAACAAAAGAGCAATTAAGCAGAACAAATCCACCTTTTGGTGATGCTTGAGGATGTACCTGCTATCCCTCCCCTCTCTTTGAAGGGTTGTAAGGTGTGGACAAGCTTTAGGCTTGGAGAGCCATGAGGGGCTGTGCTTTGGTCCCAGTTCTGTCTTTCCAGTTGTTTCTACTTTCATGGCTGCTCTGGTCACTGCCTCAGTTGACCCCCTGGTTCTTCTCATAACACTGCCCCAATTCATGCAAGTGTTTCCCTATTTTTTCAAGTCTCTTATGTGACTCATTTCTTTTTTGTGTGTGTGTGAGGCAATTGGGATTAAGTGACTTGCCCAAAGTCACACAGGTGCTCCTGACTCCAAGGCCAGAGCTCTATCCATTTGGCCACCTAGCTGCCCTGACTCATTTCTTATGGTGCAATAATACTCCCATTTTGTCCATATCCCATTCTCTGTTTGGCTACCCTCTTATTGATGGGTACTTGTTTGGTTTCCAGTGGGTTGCTTTAACAAAAAGATCTGTTTTCAGTTATCAGAGTCGATGTGGGTCCTTCCCTGGGAAACCTTGCCCATTTTAGGGACTTGAGGACCTTAAGGTTCCAAACGATTTTCAGAATGGCTGGACCAGTTCACACCTTTACCTATATGGCATCACTGTGCCCGTCCTCCCATGGCCCCTCTATTAATGGCTGATTGTCATGTTAGTGTCTTTGCCAATCTGAGGGGTGTTAATTGTTATCATTGGCATTTCTCTCAGGCTTCCATGTAGTTGGTGCAGAGCTTGCATCCCTTCTTTTGAGAGCTACCTATTCACATCCAGCTGCATTACTTCATTCAGCAGTTTCCATTCTCTTACAATAGAGAACTTACAAAATACTTACATTTTATCTTATTTTTTTCAGACTCAGAGTCTCAGTCTGAGACCAAGGAAGCAACTTCAAAGCAGGGCACTGCTGAAGAAGCATCCCAGAAGGTGACAGTAGAAAGACTCCAAAGGTGCAGTCTTTGGTGCTGCATTTTGAAAGAAACAGCGGAATGTGAGAATCCAATGAAGAAGCAACTGGGGAACAAGAAAAGACATGTGAAGCAAATCTGGAAACATCAACAGATTCATACAGGAGAGAAAACTCATAAGTGTAATGAATGTGGGAAAATGTACAAGAAGCATGCAAACCTTATTATTCATCATAGAATTCACAAATATGAATGTAAAGAATGGGGCAATGCCTTTAGTGATCGTTCAAATCTTATTAAACATCAGAGAACTCATAATAGAGAGAAGCCTTATCAATGTAATGAATGTGGGAAAGCCTTCCATCACCACTCACACCTGGTGAAACATCAGAGGATTCACACTGGAGAGAAACCTTATCAATGTAATGAATGTGGGAAAGCCTTCAGTCAGTGCTCCAGCCTTATTCAACATCAAAGGATTCATACTGGAGAGAAGCCTTATAAATGTGATGAATGTGGTAAAGAATTCAGTCATCGCTCACACCTTATTAATCACCAGAGAATTCACACTGGAGAGAAACCTTATAAGTGTAGTGAATGTGGGAAAGGGTTCAGTCAGTGCTCCAGTTTTATTAAACATCAGAGGATTCATACTGGAGAGAAACCTTATAAATGTAACATATGTGAGAAAGAGTTCAGTCATCATTCACATCTTACTAATCACCAAAGGATTCACACTGGAGAGAAGCCCTATAAATGTAATGAATGTGGGAAAGTCTTCAGTCATAGCTCGCACCTTATTGTACACCAGAGGATTCACACTGGAGAGAAACCTTACAAATGTAATGAGTGTGAGAAAGCCTTCAGTCATAGCTCAAACCTTATTGCACATCAGAGGATTCACACTGGCGAGAAACCTTACAAATGTAACGAATGTGGGAATGCCTTCAGCCATCGCTCAAACCTTATTAAACATCAAAGGATTCATGGAGAGAAATCTTATCAATGTAATGAGTGGGAAAGCCTGCAGTAACCACTGAGATCTTATTGTCCATCCAAGTAGTTGTATTTGTGAGAAACCATGGAAATGAAGATGGAAAACACTTTCACAGCTCATTGCAAAGACATCATGTAGGGAAGAGAGTGCTGGGCTTCTAGTCAAGAATACCTGGAGTTGAATCTCACCATAGACATTTATTAGCAGTGTGACCATGGACAAGTTACTGAGCTTCAATTTTTTCATGTATAAAATATGAATAATTATAATACCTCACAAGGGTTGTTTTGAGAGCCAAGTGAGGCCATATGTATAAAGTGAACATCTTAAAGCATTTTGTGACAATTATTATTCATAGTAGACACCAGAGGATCAACACTGGAGAGATTTCTTATTAACATGTATGAGAAAACCTTCACTTAGGCAGAATTTCCAAACTCTGGGGCAGAAGACCCTTTCTGAGGAAGAACAAATCAGTGGCCAAAATGTTTAGCTATACAAGTCCCACATAAATAACCCACTTTCTTCCATGAAAACAGCATGGCATATGTAGAGTATAGAGAGCTGGCCTTGGCACCAGAAGGACACGGGTTGAAGCCCCACCTCTGACACAGACTGGCTGCAGTATCCTGGACAAGTCACTTCCCCAAGATGTTGAGTTACCCAGAAGATGCTGGCAGGCCTTGGTAGAGGGGATTCCTCCTTGGGAGCTCCTATGACAGTGACATCACTGTTCTGTCCCTGTCCTCTCTTCCATGAAGACAAAATATGAATAGTCAGAGAAGATGAGATTCAATGGAGTACAATTATTCAAGGTCACACATCAGTGCTTCATGTTGGACTTTGAGGCATCATTGCCAACCATCGGTCAGTGTGACAGATGAGGTGTCTGCTTGGGTCACTGTGCATCTGCTCCCTGCATTCAAAGTGAAGCATGTAAACTTGAAATGATACAGCCTTTGTGTGGAAGGTCAAGATAGCATAATACATGCTGTATTTCTCAACATTTATTTGGGCAAGTACAGTGTAGTCTTGTTTTAAAAAAAACAACCCTGCAACTTAAAAAAAATGGAAATAACTAAGAAGTCATTATAGACTCTTGTGTGAAGTTTTCAGTAATTAAATTCAAATTGAACTATCTTAAATTTTTTTATCAAATTTTAAAAAATGAAATAATTTCCCTCCTTGAGAGATAAATGCTTAGCCAGTTTTAAGAGAAAGTCCACTAGAACAGTTAAAACTAGTTTGAATGAAAAATGCAGAGCCATTTGAAGTACCATAAATGGAGAAACACAAAGGGAAAAACGTAAATGTGAAGATCATATTTGTCACTGGGATTCATAAGTGTAAATACTCTGAGTAGCCAGAGAAGGCTATGGCCCCACTCTCCCAGGCCTGTTTCCTGTTATGCAACTCTGGGACATTTAAGGTTTCACTGCACCCAGTTTTAGTGAGAATCAACTGAAACTCCCTTGAAATCTTTTGGATGCAGCCTACCTTTAATGCCGCCTTCCATGGCATTAGTAGGTCTTCCTGGTTAATCTTTAGAAAACCCCCTTTTGCCAATGTCTGTGTTCCCTGACCCCATTATGCTACCAGTGACATGACAGCTGCCCAGGTAGGCCCTCCAGTGAGTGGTTCTGTGCCTTGGACCAGAGGACGTGTCCCACTGCTCATTGGGGCCAACACCCTGCATGCTGTTCCATGAAGCACTGGTGCAAGGAAAACCTCAGGTATCTTTCTCCAACCAACTTTGCTTTTCATCTGGCCATATTAACAAGCCATGTTGACCCATTCTAGTGGTGTTGTATGCCGTCCACCTGAACCAGTTTTTGATGGAATGCTTACTGTTCATACAAGTGATTTAGCTGCAGATGGCATGAAATTTCAAACAGACTTTCTGAGAGTTTCTACACAGAATTTGTTGGCAAAACAAGATATATTCCCCAATAAGATCACATGCTCTTAAGAAACAAAACCAGACCCTTTCAGAAGCCTTGTCTGTGACACTGAAGTAGTGCTTGAAGCCTTAGGTTCCTTAAGGAATTGCTAAATGTCAGGAACTTCATTCAATAAAGGATTGGTTGCTGCCTGTAGTGATCGATAAGGTCTACATGTGCTCAGTGGATTGTGCAGAGGGACCCCCACTTGGAGACAGTTTTGTGGAGAGGAGAATTGTGCTTATGTCAGAAGATCCTTGTGATCTATTAATTCAGAAATCAAAACCTTCCCATTCTACCTTACGAGTGGCCAGAGCAGCAGATGTAAATAAAGGTGCTCATTTGACTGTAAGGATATAATATATTGCTGACTGATCAAGTCCAGTCTGTAAGTCAGCTTGTACTTATTTGTACCAGTTACCATCCTAAACACTGGGAATCCAAATACAGAAAAGAAGACAGACCCTGCCCTCAGGAAACTTACATTTGAGTGGAGGAAGCAAACACATAACAAAGAGCTGGAAAGGAGGGATGGTGGTAAAAATGCCAGGCAAGGGGACTTAGGAGAAGAGTGCTGTGCAGATGAGTCAGGAGTGCATTCTAGAGAGGAATGAAGACACGGCAGGCCTAGGCCTTCTCCTTAAAGTGGAGGTACTTCGAAGAGCCAGACAATCAGAGGGAGAGGCCACAGGACAGAGGGTGCTTCTAGGATGAGAAACAGTGTGGGGCTGGAGGGAGCTTGCAGCATGAAGATGTTTCTATGACCCAGTGGAGGAAGTCCTGAGAAGAGTCAGTTGTGTGGCTTGGAAAGAAATGGTGTTAGAGAAGATTGGTCACTTTTCAGACTTCTTGGTGGCAACATCCCGGCCAGAGGATATGTCAACATAACAGATTATTTTAAAGAAGACTATTTAACACAGGAGAGTTTGATGGGCTCTGCGCCAGTGGGGCTTAATTAGTGTAATGCAGGCCTCTGGGCATTGGTGATGTAGTTGGTCCCTTATACTATTTGTGCAAATTGCATGCATCAGAGTTACTCATATCAAAGAATGTGAGTGAATCACTTACACAGATTTTCAAGTTATACAAGGGCAATCAAGAATCAGCTTGCCTTTTGGGGCAGCTAGGTGGCACAGTGGATAGAGCTCTGGCCTTGGAGTCAGGAGGGCCTGAGTTCAAATTCAGCCTCAGACACTTGACACTTACTAGCTGTGTGACCCTGGGCAAGTCACTTAACCCCAATTGCCTCACCAAAAAGCAAAAAAACAAAACAAAAAATCAGCTTGACTTTTCCCCTAAAAAGCCATGAGAAAGAAGTCTCTTTGTAAAATCTTGTAATGCTTTTGGTGAGAGGGTAGGGTACCTTCAGTTTCAGGGGTGAAACATGTTATTTACTGACACCAAAGTACTTCTAAGGGTATTTGAGCTAAAATAAGAAATTTCCGTTTTTCTTTGTGATAGTAATGACATATATGTCTCATAATGCAAATTTCCTCCTGAGATTTGCAGATGTGGTAGATACTTGTAAGAAACTCAGTACTCTAAAAAAAAATGCCAGGACCTCAAATTCATGCTCTGATAAGAGGAAAGTAACTAAATTTATGAAAAAGTTAAGAATTACAGATAATAAACATACAAAATAATATCCTTCTTGTTTCCCAATTTGAAAAAAGCCAACCGTGAAAGTGAAATAGAAGTAGAGACCATTGGCCAGTCCACAGAAGCAACTCACATTTTATTTTAAAAGCCTAGATTTTAAAAATGTGGATGGGTAAAGAACCCCTTTTCCCAGTATAAATATGGTACATGTGGCCCTACTCCTAAATTAGAATGGTTAATAGATATCTCTCATGATAATTCAATTCAGTTCATTAAATGTTTTCTAAGCAGCTAGGTGGTACAGTGGATAGAGTGCAGGGCCTGGAGGCAGGAGGACTCCTCTTCCTGAGTTCAAATGTGGTCTGAGACACTTCCTAGCTGTGTGACCCTGAGCAAGTCATTTAACCCTGTTTGCCTCATGGATGGATATAAATTGATACAGAGTTAAGTCTGTGGAGCCAAGAAAACAACTCACACAATGACAACAACCATGTCAATGGAAGA